AGGTCAACCCAGTCATCTTTAGCTATTAATAAAATATGACTTTTGGGTGGTTTTTCCTACTAATTACTTTTAATAATGACTTGGTTCTGAATGCATGGGGATACAGAGAAAGGCACCAAACACATTTAAATATTTCCTGATTTTCCAAAAATGTATTAAAAGATAAGTGCACTTTCAAAGATCAGGATCAGGAGCCTGGGCTTGATTACAAATCAGGATTAGCATATCCTCAGCAACAGCCCAATATCAGTTTGAGGATGCCTTTTATGGAAGTGGGCCATTCCCATAGTTAATCCAGCAGTGTCATGTCTTAATAAAATGCTGACAATTCCTGTAGAGGATGGGGAGGAGTGTTTAAGGATTTCAGAGATAAGCATTTGGTGATTCTTTTGCAAACTTTTTTCATTGATGCAGATCCCCTGCCTGTAGAGCGCTTAGAGCTCATGCCGACTGCCCTACACTACTGCGTAGATGGTTAGTTGATGTCACCTATCATACTCAGTAAACTTGCAGAGAACTCTGCTTTATTATTATTATTATCATCATTATTATTATTCATCATTTATATAGTGCCAATAGTTTGTGCAGGACTTTACAAAACTCTTGAAATGTCCATAGAACAGGCATGTAAAAAGCATTTTCTGTGCACACCCCTTTAGAGTCAATGTGTCTTTAAAGCTGCATTGGACATCCTAATCAAGAATTTTGCTTGTGGTAAGAGTACTCATCTTCCCCAGCAAAAGAAGCCAGGCCTCAAGCTGGAAAGACTCACTCCCCCTATGGAAATATAGCATGTGTAAGGGAGAGGGTTTCTGAGGGCTACAGACTAGAGTTCCACTCACAGCTGTCTCTCTGCTTCATATCTTCTGTCCTTCCTGTGTCACTGCACAGGTTAGCAGCTTTTGCAGTTCTTCTGTTGCTCCAGTTGTTGTAAAATAAATGTTTCAAGCAAAAGGGGGCATTCATCTCATCATGAATGTCAAGGCTGTAAATGTCTTTATTTGGACTCAAAAATTCTGCATGGAAACCATTAGGTCTGTCATGGTCTAACTTCATCAGGGTGACTTTCTGGCCTCTGTGGACATCAAAGATGTGCACTAACAACTCTCTATTTTTTATGGACAGTTGAAACTCAAAAGGCCCATTTGTATCCTGACCCTTTAGAAGTCAGCAGCCGGAGCCGGCTCATTTCATGGAGTATCTGGGCATTACCCTAGACCTCAAGCAAAAGTTTTTTCTTCCCCTGAAGAAACTTCAAACTCTCCTCTCCCAGACTCAAACTCTTCTGTTTAATAGACAACCAACTCAACATTTTTGCAAGAGAGTAATGAGGCTCATCATAGTCTCCTTCAAGGCAGTCTTGTTTGCCCAGTTCTACTTGAGACCCTTACAAATCAACATTCTGTCATTGTGGGGGAAAACAGTTCAGTCTCTGGACAAACCGATTTACCTGTTGTGGGAAATCTTGCCTTTTGATCTCTTGGAGGATCTTTGCAATGTATTCCAACCTGACAGGCTGGGGAAAGGTCCTAAATGCCTAGTCAGTGCAGGGGAACTGGGGGAATCCTGTCTGCCAATCAACATTCCAGACCTCTGAGCTATTTGGTTTAACAGCTATTTGGAGCTGTTGGGATGTACTACAACGTTTGGACATCCCAACTTGTGGGTCACCTGCTCATGATTCTGTCAGAAAAGACCACAACAGGGGCAAACATCAACCACAGGGAGGTGGAAAGAATTCTGTCTTGGGCAGAACTTCACGTCCATGTAAAACGTATAGGGTTCTATCTGTATACCAGCCCCCTAGCCCCATAGCAGTCAATGGAGCAACTGCACAGGTGTGGGTGTTGGATCAAGAAGCTAGCAAAGGGATGTAAACAATGCCGCATGCCTCAATCTGAGTTCTAGGTATTTATAGTGATTTGGGTGGGGAGGGTAGTCTAGACCTAATTAGCATAGTGGGGGCAAAACAGTAAGGAAACATTGTGGGAAAGTTTCCTTATCCTTTAAATTCAATCTGCCATCAGGCAATAACTCTGTAAGACACAAGACAGGTGTATATGGGACAATAATATCTACAGTATAGTTAGTTGCATAAATATTAGCTTTATATTTCATTTTAGAAAGCAATGTGTATCATGATCTAACCTGCTTTTAGTATTTCTAGACACAAAATTATAGTTTAAAGAAGGCCCAGTCACATTAATGTTTTATAGTATCATGTGGTTAAATGTGTGTTTTATTGCCACTAACCTCAATGCATGTATACGCATGAACTTTGGTGCGCTAACATTAATTTTACCCCTAAAAGCTACTACAGGAGAGGGCAATGCATACTTTGGCATACTTCATTGGAGATGCCATGTGTTTTGGAGTGCTGCCTTAGAAAAAAGAGTCATGTCAATTTTTTATGCATTAAGGTGCTCTGCCAGCACATTCAAAATTAATGGGTTGCCCATTAACCACTTGCTGACCGCGGTGTTTATACCCCCTTCCTGACCAGGCCATTTTTCAGTATTCAGCGCTATGGTACTTTGACTGACATTTATTCCGTCATGCAATGCTGTACTGAAATTCATTTTATACCATTTTTTGGGGACAGATAGAGCTTTCTTTTGGTGGTATTTAATCACCACTACAGGTTTGTTTTTTTTACTGTATAATAAAAAAAAGTACCGAAAATTTTGAAAAAAAAACCTGTTCTCCCTACGTTATGTTATAAAACATTTATTATTACCCAATTTTTTGGTAAAATATAAAAGACGGGGTCACGTCGGGTAAATAGACACCAAACATGTCAAGCTTTAAAATTGCGTGCCCCCGTTAAATAACAAAAAGCTACCATACTCAAAATTTACCATAGCCGACGCTTTAAAAGCTTTTACCGCTCATCAGTTTAGTGTTAGAAGTGATTGATGACCCTAGAATTATTGCTCTCATTCCGACGTTCGTGGGGATATGTAACATGTGCGGCACAATGGATGTAATCGGCGTTTTCGCACGTAGGCGGGCTTGACGCATGTTTGCGTGTGCATGTGGAGGCGGGGGACTTCAATTTTTTTTATGGCTTTGATATGTGATTTTGAATTTTTTTATTTATTTTTTGTAACAAATTTTTTTAAACCTTTTTTTTTCCACTGAACTTTATTGCTATCACATAGGGAGCAAACAAGCTCCCTATGTGATAGCCAATTTGCAGTGGCAGGTCCTCTTTATGGAGACATCAGGGGTCTTAAGACCCCTAATGTCACCTAGGGACCCCCAGAGAAGCTGATGAAACAGAGACCTGCTTCACCAGCTTCTCTCCGGTTTCTGTACATCCCTGCCTGCATTCAGAAGAGGAGAGGAGATCAAACGGCGCACGTGTACTGAGCTCCGTTTGATCTCCGGCCGCAGAGCTGCTGTGCTGGTCCCGGGAACAACAGAGCCCGGGATCGCCAACAGCGACGGAGTGGGGGGCCCGCACACCCGACCGGATATTACAAGCGATCGGGCGTCTCTACAGACGCCCGAATGCTTGTATGTAAACAGCCATTGCTGGCTGTTAACATTCAAAGCCGGTTTCCCGCTTGTGCGCGCCGCCTAGCGGCGGGCACAAGCTAAATGGGATAGGACGTCTAAAGACACCCACCCGCCCTCAAGAAGCCGTTGCCCGGCCGTTTAATTACAACGGCTGGACAGCAGGTAGTTAACATATTAACGCACAATAACACATTCATTAATGCAATACAGTAGAAAGTAGACACATGTTCCCCTAGTTTGGGGACTGCATCGAGGAGCACTAATCAACACATTTTGTTTGAGAAGAGGTTAAACTATCTTTATAAACAGTAGCGGTGAGGTTGTACACGATAGAGTTGAGGTTTACCAGGAAATTTACCCAGGCCTGTCTGTCCCTCACAGTGATGTCCATATGTCTGTCAAAAAAGTCCAAGTATCCCATCGCACTCCTGACTGGAAAATGCCCATGCAGCAGGGCGGGTGCAGCAGCAACAACGGATGCCTCCGTCAAAACTGTACAAAATAATAAAGTGACTGGCACTCCAAGTATTCAAATCAATAAGTTTATTGACCCAAGTGAAAACACCAGCTAGCAACGTTTCGGGACCATACGGCTCCTTCCTCAGGCAAACAGGACCATGTGGCCTGAGGAAGGGGCCCCATGGTCCCGAAAACGTTGCTAGAGGTGTTTTCACTTGGGCCAATAAACTTATTGACTTGAATACTTGGAGTGCCGGTGACTTTATTATTTTTTACATATGTCTGTCACAGTCTATAATTATCAATGTCTGACAATAGGCTCAGTTCTCAAAGCTTACACAATAGGAGATCGTTTAAAAAATAATATTTTCAGCTATATCCAAGGAAATTATAGTCACATGGCTGAAAATCGAGATCTTTAGCCACGTGTGTTAGTTTTGTGAATTAAGCCTAATGTCTCTTGGTCTGCATCTTACACTCTGTGGCTATTCATCATTGTGTCCATCAATTACTATAAGCTTGTTTGTGAGTTTTGGGGGTATTGTAAAGAATAACTTACCCGCAAAAAAATATTAAATGTTATGATTCATCATATAATCTATTAGGCTTTACAAATGAATTGCAATGGTTGCTAAACCTTTTGATGAATTTTATTTTATTTATGCATATTTTGCACACACACACACACACCCACACACACACACACACACATACACATATATAGATTTTTATTTATTTATTTTTTATTCTAATTCTTATTAGCTTATAGCCAGGACATTTCCCATTGATCTGTAGCGATATTTATATGTCCGTCATACCTGACATTATCACAGAAACCAAATACGTTGTATTTACTACAGTTAAATTGATTTAGATTTGTGAATTAGATAGTTTATACTATTGCTGCATGCAGATAACTGCACTTTAATGTAAATTGTTATGAGTATGTAAAGATAACACACATTGCTACTATTAAGTGTGCAAAATGACAGTATTTAAACATATCTTCTATATTGTAGGTCAGTTGGAGAAAGCTGCTGAGCATTATGAGGCATTCTATCATCTGACAGCAGGCCGGTTATGGAAGGATGAGACAGGCCGCACTCACAACTCACAGGCCTGTGAGAACCTCTGGAGAATATACACACTGCTATCAGAAAAAATGCTGGAGAACAGAGAATGGCAACAGGCCATCAAAACTCTAATAAAAGCACTTGATATGGCAAGAGAAGGTAGGTGGAAAATTACACCATCATATTTCCTTTTTTTTTTTTATGTACTTCTCATATTTTTGCCCATGAGTAAACTAAACGTTGTGAAATGCTTGTCTAGGTGATCATTTGCTTCCATTTCAGAGACAAATTTTGTCAATATATTAACTTTCTGTAAAGCAGGCTTCCTTGCATCACATTTGCAGGGACAAAAAGAAATAATGAGTCTGTATTTACATGCTTTGTATTTATATATCTATTTGTACATTTGTTTTGAACTTTGTTTATAAAACTAAACATTTTATTTTAATACATTATGTACATTTAATACTATTAATTAATAAATAATAATATTTCATAAAATATTTTAATCAACGTGATTGCTACGACAGCCAGTACCCCATGCCACCGGCTAAAGGAACCATGCCTGCCCTTGTTAGGAACCCTCTATTCTGTTGTTGTTGTTGTTTGCATTTACTACTATGTTCCTTAAATTAGAGCTATGTACTCCCATTGAATAAAATTGTAAGTGTATCTGTACGTACAATTTTCCCTCAGTTTTCTGAAAATCTCACAAGTACCTGCTGATCCTGCCAGCGATGACCACTTCATGCAGCTTGCTGTGATGGAGAGCAGTTTTTTCACTCTGAAGTAGGCTGTGCCTGCCTGCACTGAGTGCAGGAACAGCAGTACCAAATTTCAACAATAGGTGGCACTGCAGGTAAATATAGAAATACATTTTCTTTGTTTATTATAGTCAAGGCTGAATTTTTTTTTCTTTTTTGTTTATTAAGGGATACTGGATTGATTGACATTTGGGTTATGTTACTGCCAAAAGGATTTGTACACTAGCCATAAAAAAAAAGTAACCAGTATTACCAGTGTATTTCTTTCTTCGTGCTACTTGCTGCTGAGCTGGTTTCTTTGTGCAGCTATTTGAACCTGTTTATTTTCAGCAAAAGTTTGGAAGTTGTACCAAGACCCCACTGGACTAAAAACTGTGGCATCTGCCTGGAATATTATTTATAGGCACTGGGCTTTGCTTGTAACACTTTCCAGACCTCTTGGCTTAGCATTGGGAGCTACTATAAAATTAGTGGGACTGTTGGGTACTATTTTTAGCCCGGTTTTTCTGTTAGTTTCAATGAGAAGAGCTAAACCACAGAGAAATTGAGTGCTGTGTCACTAGGTGAAATTTTGCACTGTAACACCCCGCACTCTATTTCTGCCTTCGGTCGGTGGTAGCATCTTCCAGCTATTGCTCCTATTTGCAAGGGACATATTGTTCCAACCCAGTTAGTCCTAGCTGCCACCTACACCTCTGGACACCTCTGACCATTGGAACCTCTCCTGTTCCTACTAGTCAGTTCATGAGTACCCCAAGGGTTCACCTAATATACTCAAATTAAGTTGCTTCACACGTGGTGCATTTTGTCAGATGACAAATATAAGAGGAGCAGTTTGTCTGAATCAGGTCTCTCTGGCTTTGATCCATTAAAAAGAGATGGGTCTCCTATCAGTGAACATGCAGAGAACTCTTTGGTTGAAATGTTGGTCTGCAGAACAGGAATCTAAAAAGAGTTTGTTGAGCAACTCAAGGGTGAGCATCTCTTCATAGCTGCTTCAGACACCCTCATCAGAAATGTTACTGGAGATGACAGTAATCATCTATCCCAAAGGGAAGGCCTAGGCCTCAAGCAAAGAACAAAAATCCCTCATTTGATGTAAAAAAGGAGTTCCTTTTGTTACCCCCAGGCATCAGCCTCTATGACAAAACCTAAGCCAAGAGCCCAGTTTCACTGCAAAATCTGGGCCCCGAAATTACCCAAACCAGCAGACAAGTCCTTTTCGACGTGAAGGAGCATCCCCACTTTCTAAAGTGGGGGGACATATGTTAGCCTTTGCAGACATTTGGACAAACAACATCTCAGATGCTTGGGCATGGGAAGTGGTTTTAATAGGCTACATGCTAGAATTTCACTCTCAACCCCCTCCTCGCTTCATGTCTTTCTATGTGAGATTAGCAGACCTCCATGCAGGCTTTGTATCTTTTCTGGAACCTGGGGTTATTGCCCCAGTTCCTCTTTCAGAAAGGTTTTAAGAATTGTATTTTATTTCAGTCTTTTCACAGTTCCAAATCAAAAAAGAGGTTTACGCTCCATTTTGGATTTCAAGACCCTAAATGCCTTCATTCAGTCCAGAAAATTCAGTGTGGTATCCACCAAGTCTGCATAGCCTCCCCTCATGAGGGAGACTTTGTGGCCTCTGTAGATATCAAGGATGCATACTTGCATGTCCCCATTTTTCCAGTGCATCAGTGATTTCTGTGTCTTGCTGTGCATCCTCAACACTTCCAGTTTGTGGCCCTGCCATTCCGTCTTTCTTCCACATCATGTGTATTCACCAAGGTTCTAGCCCCTGTTCTTGCCTTGCTACACTCCCAGGACATCCTCGTTATGGGATATATGGATGACCTCCTGTTGAGGGATCTGTCAGCAGAGACCCTGGCCAACAATGTGGAAATGATAATTCAGACCTTAAAAAGATTTGGTTGGATCCTGAACTTTCAGAAGTCTGCAATGGGGCCAATCCATCACTCGAAGTATCTGGGTCTGTTCCTTGACACAATGCAAGCCATAATTTTTCTTCCAGGAGGGAATCTTTGAACTCTTCATTCTCAGACTTAGACCCTTTTTTCCAAGAGTTATTCTTACTCTTCGCTTTTGAATGAGTGTCATGGGACTGATGGTAGCCTCCTTAGAGGCAGTCTGGTTTGCCCAGATTCCCCCTTGACTGCTTGACAAATCGCCTGATACCAAAGACCAGGTTGTCTTTAGCCTGTTGGCTCAGGGATCTAGCTCTGGAGTTGAGAAAATAGTTATTTTTAATCCTTTAGAAGATTATCACAAAGGATGCCAGCCTCACAGGCTGGGGAAAAATCCTTGGACTTGGACGTTGGAGGAATCTGAACTTCCAAAAAACATTCTGGAGCTTCAAGCAATTTGGTTTTCTTTACAACTGTGGATATCTCAACTGGAGGGTCTCCCAACCAGAATGCAGTGGGACAAAGCCACAGCAGTTGTGTACATCAACCATCAAAGAGGAAACAGAAGTCTTGCTGTAGAAAAGATTTTGTCCCGGCAGACTTTCACACTCCAGCCTTGTCCACCATTCACATTCCAGGCATTTACGACTGGCAGGCAGACTTCCTCAGTCAGCAATGCCTGGACACAGGGGAGTGGTCCCTACAACCAAAAGTTTTCCAGATCCTGTTCCACAGGTAGCAGATGCCACATGTAGACCTTCTAGGCTTTATATTCGACCACAAACTGGTTTATCTCCAGGTACAGAGATCCTTTGGTGGAAGCTGTGGACACTGTGGTGGCTCCATGGGACCAGTACGACCTTATCATTATTTTCCTCTCCTGAAACTTCTTCCTCATCTGCTCTGCAAGATTGAATTGGTGGTATTCCAGTGGTTCTCATAGCTCTGGCTGGGCCAGGTGGATGTGTCCTCTGACCAGATCAGACTAATGGCAGATGCTCCATGGACCCTTCAAAATCAATTACATCTTCTGTCCCAAGGGCCGATTTACCATCCTGCCTCTCATAGTTGGTAATCCCCTTGATGTTAAAAGCTAGGAAGTCTGCTTTCTGTAAGTTCTACCATCACATGGAAGGCATGCTTTGCTTGGTGTGAGAAAAGACACTTTCATCCCAAAAAACACACTGTGGGACGAATCCTGACCTTTTTACAATCAGACCTGGATCAACAACTGGCTCTAAGTACTATTAAAGGTCAGATCTCAGCACTTGCAATCTTGGTCCACTTAAAAAAAGACCCTTAAACCTATCAGGGTTATCCCCCTCTCCACACTCACTGACATGATTTACTTGTTGCTATCACCTTTGGGAGAACTGTTTTTGAACTGTTGGCCTACTCCAGTGAGAACTTTTCTGGTCTTGCACAAGGTCAAACTGGTTCCAATGTGGTCTTAGCTTTTCTCCATAACTAGTACATTGTCCTCCCATCCCTCTGCCGCAGTACATCAGAAGGAGGTTTTTCTCTATTGTCTGGATGTAGTTTAAGCTGTGCGAGTCTACCTCAAAGCCGCTGCCTTCATTAGAAAAACTGACTCCTTTTTTGTCATCCCTGATGGTTCCAGTAAATGGGAGCCATCTTCTCATTTTACCACTTCTCGGTGGCATAGACAAATCATCATTTAAGCTTATCTTAAGGATGTTTCACCCTTTCCTGTCAAGGCACACTCTACTAAATTTATGAGTGCTTCTTGGGCTTTTTTTCACCAGTCAACTGTTTCCCTGATTTGCAAGGCTGCCACCTTATCTTCTGCTCACACATTCTCTGCAGGCAGTCCACAGTTTTTTTTAGTTTGGCTTGCTAGACTTTTGTTTTGTGTTGCACACTGCTTTCGGACATCCTAAATGTTACTTAATCCTGTGTCTCAATGAATGAAAAAGAAAACAGGACTTTTGCACTCACCATAAATTATTTTATTCAAGTTTAGTGAGTGACACAGGTCCCACTCCTCTGTGTTTAAAGGAGAACTATGGGGTTAGGGCTTTTCCCCATAGTCCTAGCGTCCTCCCGTCACCCTAAGCTCAGTATACCGAGAGCTACAGCTCGTGGTATACTGAGACGCTGCATCTGAAGCGGATCCCGACAATTGTGTCTGGATCCGCCCAGCTGCGTGAGTGACAGCTGGCTGTACCCGCCCCCTTCCCTGTCCGTTCCACCAGTCAGCGCTGGAGGATCGGAGGGGGGAATCCAGCCCCTCCCCTGTCACGGCAGAGAGCCGTGACAGGATCGAGAAGTGAGCGAACGCCGGTATGTGTTCGCTCACTTCCCGATCTACTGAGCCGACCTGTGACAGTCTCATGGTCACAGGTCGGCTAGAACTATGAGGTGAGTGAAAGGCACTCACCTCATAGTTCTACTTTAAACACTTATTCTCAGCACTGCTTTGTTACAGAACAAAAGGCATGCTGGTAGTGGGAGGGGCTATACCACAATTTGTTTGTTTTGCCAGTTTCCAAGCCCCCCCCCCCCCCCCCGTAGGCAGCAGTATGACCCATATCGATAGGCTGGATCACTGTACCTTGCACTTCCTTATCCCCTTCAGGGGTGAATCCTTCCTTGATTTTATTTAGGGAAGAGGAGTTCCCAGCCACTATGGCTATGAGTTTATGAGAAAAAAAATGAGGAAGGTAGGCTCTGGGGGTTTACAGAGCGGGTTGGATTAGCGAGCTGAAGAGATGTAGGTCTTCCACAGAGCCTCCAATGGTGAGGATGATTGCACTACCAGACACCTTCCAGGTGCGGCCCTCTAGCACATTCATACAGACACAGAAAACTGGTTGCAGCACCGAGGTTCTAGATACAAAAGCAGGCAGAGTTGAAACCTGTACACAGACAGCAGTTCTGGATGCCGAGGGATACTAAGGTAGAAGTCCAAACAATAGTGTGATCGGAACACTGGTGAACAAAAGAGTGTCAGCAACAACACGGCAAACCGGAAATCTCCTGAGAGCGAGGCTGCGTAGAACAAGCACCTACACAGGAGGAGGACAGACTCACAGGTAAGCACAGGTGCAAGAGCTCACTGAAGGAGATAATAACAATTCACTTGCTGGATGTGCAGGATCTCACTGGGGCACAAAGGACACACAGGAAACAAAGCAGGTAAGTAGCAGGGATCCAGCGATACACAGGGGGTCTGGCCAAGTGTAAAGACTCGTTGCTCAAACGCAGAGCAACAAGTAAGCAGGTCTTTTAACACAGAGGATTGGCAGGAATCTGAGCACCTCGGACAGGAGGCAAAACCCAGCGCCAGATCATATCATAGGGAAGTGTGACATCGGGCTGCAATCGTGTTTCCACACCAGATTCTCTGAATTACCGGGGGATGTTGTTGCTTCTGAACAGTCAACCAAGCATTATCATTAGGACTGTGCCCTATCTTTATTTGAGGAGTTGGTACAAGAGAAGCCTCAGTCTGCAGACATAACGTCAAAACTTAAAGATACAATTTTAGTCCTTATTGCTGCAGTCCGCACATGCCTTGACCTGGAACTCTCTGTGTCAGCTGTGCCTAACATTATTACCCTGGTCTCCAGCCTCTTATGACTTTTTCAGTGTATTACTTATTGTAACTGGTCTTGTATAGTGATTGGCCTAATCCAAATAGAGCTTTTGCTCCTCCTTAATGTGTTTTGCCAGCAATATCCTATGGGAAAAGAATTCCTAAATAAGTGGACTGTTCCTGTACTGGACCTGGCCATTTCTTGTCTTAACAAAACTTTAACTATCCCTGTGGAAGACATCCCCTAGAAGCCCTCTCTAAGGCCTTGTTCTCCCTCACAGGCCCTGCTCTACAACTTGCCATTGCAACCGTGTCCATCCGCTAGACCTCTGAGCCATCTGATCCAAGACAGATCCTGTCCCTGAGTCCTGAATCTATCATAATGGATCTTTTTGCACTGTCCTTTATTGTGTTCATGGGCTACCAAATTAGATGTCAAGTATCCAGAATTGGCCTCCTCGTGATACACATGAGAATATCACTTTGGCTCAAATGTTCACCTGTGGAGCATCAGTACAAGAAATGCCTTTTGTATGTGTGTGTACAACTCCATCAAGGAGGTCACAGGAGAAAAAATACCCAGAAAAAGAAAGGAAACCACCATCTGGGAACCCCTGTACTCCTAAGGCTAAGAAGAGTTCCTTTTGTTTCTCTCTGGAAGTCAGAAACATAAGGGGGCACCCCACTTGTCAGAGTGGGGGGGACATCTTGTGGTCATCTTGTCCCAGGATATTCCAGGCATTTGGGTCCAGCCGGTTGTATTCCAAGCCTACCAACTGAAATCTAGTTTTTTTCCTCCACCCTCCTTCATGTCAAACGTCCCAACATCCTTGCAAATATTAGAAGACTTTTGCACTCCTTAACAAACCTCATTTTTTCAAAGAGTCATAGCTATATTCCTGGAAATGGACAGGTTTCAGGGTTTCTATTTACACCTGTTCTACTTTGTCTTCTATCTTTCAACTACTGTTTACCTATAAAAGCAAAAGATTTCCCAGCACACTTACCACCTAGCCTGCAAAAAAAAAAAACTGTGTAAAGCCCTTCCATGTGCGCCTTACTTTAAATCTAGTTATGAATTGATGAGTGCTCTAGCCATTTGTTTTGTTTAGTTACTTTTTTATCTATGTTCAAACATTCTCCCTATAGCCCTGCTTCATCAACCTCTGTAGCAGGTCATTATAAAAAAACAGTATAAAATACTTTAGTAAAATATATATATCATATCAATGGTATTTTTTTAACATCCAAACCTAATGGTGGACTACAGCTTAATGCTAGCAGTGTAAGTACCTGAATTTGACTTGTTTTTTGTGGTTTTGGTGACAGAGAGCTGAGTATATTAGTGTGCTGCTTGTCCTTTCCTTTTCCAGGCACAGGGTGGGGAAGGGGGAGACATGTAAGTAAAAGTAAAACCGCAGCACAGAACAATCAGGTCCCCTCCCCTTTTAAGCAGGGCTGTGCCATATTGACAGAGTTATGTAAATGTCAGGACTGAATGAACAGAAATACAAATCCTTTGGCATCTGTCGGCATTGCCAGTCTTGTGGGACTTGAAAAAGAGTCTAAGAAAAGCATTATCAATTGCTAAGCTTAATTCTTTTAGTACTCAAATATCGATGCTTGATGTAACAGTTATCTGTCTTTGTTTTCTTTGGGCATAACTGGATAACAGATATCTGGCATTGGACAGTTTGTTAAGATATATGGATTTGGGAGTTTAGCTTTTTCTTTATCCTCTACAATAATAGTTTTCTGAAAAATACAGTAGAAAGTGAAAAAACAAAAACAATGGAAGAAGAACAAGAAAAAGAGAGAAAGACAAAAATAAGAAATCCTTCATTGACTTATAAGCCTTTAGATGATCCAAGGAAATATCTACAATATATTGTATTTATTGATAGTGATAGAAATAATGATATATTATCTATATATAGAAAGTAGGTATAGAGGCACTCATGGGCCTTGCAGCGGAGATAACTTAAAGCATCAATGTTTTATTGTCAACAATTTAACAGAGCGCAGTCCATCTTTATCATACAGTATATATGTGTGTAAATCATATACTGTATATTGTATGCCTATTAATTCTGCTGTCTTAATTGACCTGGACATGCTGGAATGTTTTTGGGCCTTGTAAAACACACGAAACCGATACTGGAAAAGAACAAAAGGAGTATAATAGGTTTCAATATTGCCTTTTAGATTATTCCAGATTATACCAGTTACATCTAATAGATTTGAAATCTTCTAAAGATTATTTGCAGTGGGGATTAGCTAATTTCAAAAGATTATGTAATGTGCAATTTTAAGCCAAAATTATGTAATATGATCACTGAGTTGGGGACAATAAGGGTCAAAATTTTGGACATAGAGATTTTGTCCTAAGGATTGAAATAATGTAGAAATTCTCAGGGAAATAAATTTGGAAAAGCTGTAAATTGTGTTCAGTTAAACATCGTCAAACAGTAAACATTGATATCTAGTTGTGCCACATTAAAGGCTTTAATGGTGGCGTCTGGCCTTAAAAGTTTAGCTAGAGGCTCTAAAGCTAAGATAAAGGGATGGAGAAGAGGGGCACCTTGTCTGGTGCCCCTACAAATGAGTATGTCCTTGAACTGGAAGCCTTTAACAGTGAATTTGGCTCTAGGGAAAGAGTAAATTGCTTTTAAGGATGTAAGGCATTTTTTACCAAAGCTGAATCTCTGAGGTACATAAAATAAATAATCCCAGGATAAGGTGTCGAAGGCTTTGTTAAGGTCAAGAGCTATGAGCACAGCCTTTTACTCAGACCGACCATGCCTATTTGAATGGAAAGCCACAAGGTCTTGCATGCTGATATTATTTTGATTTTTAAATGCTTTTGTTAATGATCAATAAAAGGATAATGTGTGAATTTAGAGAATTGCAGGGGATTTTAGGAAATTATAGCATCAAAAGGTCAAGAAGGTAGGAAGGTGAGCATTCAAGCATTTTGTTGTCACACTAATAAGGTTTCAAACTTGCCATACCGTATAAAATTGGTATCACATTTTGTGGATATCAGTCTAAAGCTTGTTCAAATGCACTGTCAGTTTGCATAATGCTCTTAGGTTTTCTTTTATATATTTTTCCACGGTTTAGAGCGTTTGTTCATTTAAGATTAAATGTTTGTTACATGTTTTATTACTTTGAGCAGTGAGGACAGTGTAATATTCTATCATAGTGACTTTGTGGGCTGCCTTGTTATTGACAGGATGGATAAAAACTGAGGAATTTCCATGAAACAAATGTTAAATGTTTTAGTCTATTTCATAAAATTAAGGTAGGATGAATTTAACAGTAACACGCTGATTCGTAAATCTTCTGCCCTGTGTATAGCTGGGTGGATGTTGTTCACACAGCAATACCGCCACTAGATAGAGCTGGTGAGTGCCATCGAGTTGTGGTAGTGCTGTGCAAATGACATTCACCCAAAAGCGTTTCTTTTTAATATACTAGGGGAAAAAAAAAGTGTTTCTTGCAGAGCAGAATTTCTTGTTTTAATAATAATATGTCACTTTAAAATGAAAACCTTTGGATTACTATAGTGAAGGTTTAAGAACCTGGACATTGTAAGGTGGAATTTTATAGGGTTCAGTAGAAGTATTGGTACCCGTTGTGTTAATGTGGCATACGAAATCCTAATAGGTATATAAGATTAAGTAAAGTAGAGTTATCTGGTTGGGGCAGTCCACTGGAGGAATTGGGGGAGTGGAAGAAAATTAACAAAGGAGAAGAAAAAGGAGGATAATGTTTACGGACATCATTGCTGTTGGGAAGACAATTGAGACCTGTAAAGTAACATGTATATGAAATTTGAAAAATAACTATTTTCATATTTCTAGCTAACTTTCATATCATCTCTTTTTTTCAGCTCATGATAAAAAATTGGAAGGAGGAGCTGCTTATAGACTGGGGATGGCACATATTTCGTCTGGAAATCCCCAGACTGCTATGAAAGTAAGTATTATGTGTTAATACCCTAGGTTCTTTCCATCTATGCAGGAAGGAACCAAGCTACAGCCTTGTAGGGCAATCACATTAACTAGGAATTGACCTTAACCCTTGTTTATACACTTGTTAAACACTTTATTAAGTGTACTTATCTAGTGCATGTCTGGACCCTCTTTTACCTTTAGAACAGTCCGGATTCTTTGCAGTGTAAAAGCATTCCTTAGGTATTTATTCAATGCCACATAAGAAGCTGAGATTCCTTAGGCCAGGCTATCCCATGCCCTCTATAGGCTTATTTCCTGTTTTTAGCTCAAACAAGTGGATGCCATCAATGTTTTCTGCTGCTGTAGTCCATATTTTTTATGGTTCTAAGTGTTGTGCTTAGAGAAATGCCTTTATTTACACCAGTGCTGTAAATAGTGGAATATTGAGCAGCATTGCAGGCTCTGTCAGTTTGAACACGTTGACCATAATACATTATTTTACATGCACAAGAGGTTTTCGTGCACAGAACTACCTCTTACTAGATGTTGTTGGCTTTTCATACCATTTTCTGTAAACTAGGTAGAGTATACAGTATATGGTATAAACCTCCTAGAAGTTTCTGAGATGCTGCTATTAGTACGTCTTACACCAACAATCAATATCCACAAATGTGTAACATGTATGTTATGTTTTTTGTCTGCATGAAAAACAGTGTACCAGTGGTACACTGGTTTAACCTCCCTGGAGGTATTCCCGAGCGTGGCTCGGGGTTAAATTTCCTTACCAGGAGCGGTAACCCCGAGCCACACTCGGGAATACCCTGAATTCACACTCACCTCGTCCCACGATTCCCGCAGCGTCTTCTTCGCCCGATGCCGGCATCCGTCTCCAGTGTACGCTAGCGTCAGCGTCGTAGGGAGGCAGATCCGGCGGGAAATTCAAACGTAAAAGCACCCAATACATACAGAATACATTGTAATACATCGAAAACAATGCTATTACGTTACTGTAACAAATTATTTCACCTCAGCTTTGTCCCTAGAGATATTACCAGTGTTCTGCCTGCACTTTTACTATTCTATCTGCCTGGAAAACTTGAGAGCATGCATGGCATCAAACAAGCGTCCGCTGAGGTCAAAAGTGGTTTTTGAGCAGCTTGAAAATAGCGATAGTGATGTGGAAAATAGCGATAGTGATGTGGAATCACTATCCCCAGATTTTTAGGTTGCTTTTGCTTCATTTGCTGTTGTTTCCTTTTTCTCTTCTTTCTATATCTTTCCTTTACGGTTTACTTCCATCATAGGTTTTTGAATAGGTTATTTAGGCCATGGCCAAAGAAATATGTATACCAAAGGAGGCTACTGCCAATTCTAGATTGTCACCTGCATGAATTAGTTATAATGCTCTCACAACCTATAGTAGTATCACTGATTAACTAATAACCCTACCCCTCCCAAGTAGCATTAGCAGAATAACTGTAGGCATTTACAGACCAACACCAGAACTCATCCTTTTAGAGGGGCAGCAGTCATGTCTGTATCGGCGTGGGAATGTGACTACATGGACTGAGCTTTTTGCCTGGGTGATGGCCAGAGTTTTATGGAAATGAGCGGTACCAGTGCAGTATGCAAAACGGGTATGATACCTGCCTAGTTATGGCTTCAAACTATTTTTTATTTTTATTTTTCCTTTTAATGTTTCTACTCAAAGAAAAAAGGAGGGTTGCGTATTTAAAGAGGCCCATGTAGTATTGCTATGTAGGTTGTATGTAGGTTGTATGTCACTAGTCAAGCTGGTAAAATTAATGCAGAGATGGGTGCCAGATAATGACATCAAATGAATTCAGCACGCATGAGTCTTGTTGTAAGCTAAGGCAATGCTTTTTCAAATCCAGTCTTTAAGTCTTCCAACAAGTCATGTTTTCAGGATTGACTTGACCTATTATTTCTGGCTTGGTAATTCATTTGATGGAAATTCTGAAAATACCACGTTTTGTAGGTACTTAAAGTATAACTAAAGGAAATACTTTTCTTTTAGATTCAGTTACCAGTTATGTTCAGCTTCAACGGTGAGGGTTAGAACCCCTCAGAGTTTTTATTGCTGTCTGTGTCCAATGTGGACATGTGTTTCGGTTAGAGGTGCACCGAAATGAAATTTTCAAAACCGAAACCGGAAAAAAAAATAAAGTCAGGCCAAAACCAAAATTTTTTATATTTTTATTTATTTATTTTTATTAAAAATCTCTTTTTCTGTAGTCCCTGTTATAAATGAACAGGAAGCCTCTATATCGAGTGTTCCTGTTCATTCATAACTTGTGTTTACCATGTTCACAATCATGAATGAATAGGAAGTGATGTAGATCACTTCCCATTTATTCATAATTGAGGACACAGTAAACATACTGAGGGGAATTTATCAAAACTGGAGCAGACAAAATCTGGAGCAAATTTGCACTGCAGCCAATCAGCTTTTCTCTCTCATTTTCAAATCTTACCTGGGCAAACTGAAGAGAGATGCTGATTGGTTGCTATGCTCCAGATTCTGTTTGCTCCAGTTTTGATAAATTCCCCTCAGTATGTTTACTCAATGTCCTCAATTATTTACAAACACTCAGCGATCACTGTTTGCTGAGTGCTTGTACCCACTCTCCATCCTAACTCGCTGTCACAGGAGGCTGAGTGAGCTTTGCGGGGAGGAGAGCTCGATCTCCTCTGACAGCCAACTCCTCCCCCGCAGCAGCCTCCTGTGACAGCTGACAGCTGTCTCAGCCCCCACACTGAGTCGGGAGGAGAGCTCAACCTCCTGTGACAGCCGTCTCGCCCAATCACCGCTCTCCTAATCTGTCACAGGAGTATGAGCACCGGCCACTCGCATTTCTATCCTCCCCCGCACCGCTCACCCTCCTGTGACGGTTTCTCTCCTTCCCGCTGGACGCAGTGCTGTGTCAGAGGGGACACAGAGCAGCGCCCAGAGGGGAGTAGAGAAACCAGGGATGCACCGCTATTTCGGCCGAAAGATGGCACTTTCGGCATTTTGCCAAAAGTGCAATTTTCGGCCGACATGTTTCGGCGGCTGAAATTTAGGTGCATCCCTAGTTCAGGTGATGACTGAGAGGGGATATTATATGGCAAAAAATGACAGTGGTTTTAACTCTCTTACTGAACTTTAACAAAAAGTTTGGCCTTTAAATATACTTTAAGAATTATTTTGGAGAAACAATTAACTAAGACATTCAGGACTTGTGCAAGTGCCAAAAGCTTTGTTCCAGATCTGGGAATCAATTGAAACAACTGCGCAATATAGATACTAATGTGCAAACATTGTGTTCCTTATCACAGAGCAGGAATGTTCCTACAGTGAGATCCTGCAATCATCTGTTTACTCTACAAGAAAGTAAATTTTTTCTTTCACATCAATGTGCTTGGAGGGATAGCATCACCCAAATCATGTTATAAAGTCAAATTATGGCTTGTAATGAGAAAGGGCATCTATTGACTTAATTGCTTTCTGACTGCATAGTTTCTGGGCATCTACAATGGTTCTAAAGTTGGGATCTAGCAAGAAAGAAATGCAATTTATACTAAACTAAACCTCTGGTTGAAGTTCAGGGACAAAACAGGTACTGCTTTATGCAATTTCGATTTGCCAAAACTATCCCTAGATTCTTTGAATTGCTCAAATTCCACCCATTTGGGGCTAACATTGCCCCTTGCATATCAATAGTAGAAATGTCAATGTGATAGTTTCTTTGAAAGGTCAACCTTATTTTTTTCTTTTTTTCAAATCTGCAAGTTACAAGTGGATTTGTGTAGAAGATGAATTTTGTTTTGCAGAGAAGGTTATTAGCAAGAGCTGCTAGTTATCATTATCTCTTCTTTGCCTGCTGTTTGATATTTCCTGACCTTTACATACCTGACCAGACACCTCTTCCCACTACCAGTAATGAATTACACCATAAATAAGGCACATCTTAGTGCTTTGAATGGTATATCCTTCATGAACAGCTTTAGAAGAGAGATTTATGAAAGTGATTATCAAAATATGTTTAGCTGACAGGCTTATGTGTTTACCTTTGCTATTAGATGTATTTGTCTGTCTGGTGTTAATGTATGAATTTAAAAATATAATGCAGTATACATTTGGCCCAATGAAAATTTCCCCAAAAAAGTAAATGTTGTATAGAAATATAAATCTACAAATCTTGGATTCTGCTTAGGGTGTACATGTTTTTAGTTTGTGATTGTTTTAGAATATCTGTGAGTTACATTAGGGAGGACAGGGCAAAGGACTTGATTTGACATAGGGTTTAGTTTGCATATGATGTTTGTTTAGTATAATAGGCCATTTATTAAAATGACTGAAAGAATTGTCTGTGTTGACCCACGTAATTTTATTTAGTGTTAGTATATCAAACACAACTAAACTTGCCAACCTTCAAATTTTTTTTACTACTCATCCAAGTGGAGGAAGCACAGATCCACAGAATGAATAAAGGTCCCCACACACCTTACGATAATCGTACGATAATCGCGGGAAATCCCGCGATCGTACGATTCTCGTAAGGTGTGTGGAAGCCGTGCAACCTCTACTACTGTAAGGTCGCACGACTTTAAACTTACGGACATGTTCGAAAACCCGCCGAGCATCGTACGATTTTCGGTGGGTTTGTGACATGTCGGTACGATAACAGCCGTACGGGCCGGTGTGCGCAAGCGCACACTGCCCGTTCTGCATTGCGGTCATCGGAAGCCCGCCCCTCAGGGGGCGTGGTTTGCGATCATCGCAAGTACGATCTGCCTATGCAAGATAGGCAGATCGTACGTTTTTTTAAGTACCTTACAACCATCGCAAGACAAAAGTCTTGCGATGGTTGTAAGGTATGTGCCCAGCCTAAGGCAGAAGAGGAGCTATACTTGCACTGTAGTTCCTCACGTGCAGCTTCTTCTCTAGCAAGCCCTCAGGGAAACAGCGACCAGTTCATTAATGACATTACCAAATCCCACTCCAAATATCCTGACTAG